CTTCTAGGTGGGTGAGGAATGGTATATGGAAACTGCTTTGACTTTGATTTGCTGCCTAAATCTGAAACCTAAAAAAATAAATACATTTTAAAAAAGGACAAAACGTCCTCTTATATCCACCAATAACACTCCCAGTATTTCAATGAGTGCCCTATAAAGGGTAAAGGCTGAGACTGTCCTTCTATCTAAACACAAAGAAAACAAACTGGTCACTACAGGATCATCTGAGGCCTTCACTTAAACACGGAATTCTTCCAGGACTTCTGTTAGCTTGTTAGAATTACAACTTTGACTCACACTGCGTCTGACCCTTGATAATCACATTTAGGTGAGACGGTGCAAGTCAAAAACTGAATGACATCAGAGGACGATACAGGGGGAGGGAATAAAAAAAGCTGTCGTAGAACGAGAGGACGTCCAGAGGAGGTGGAGAAAAGAGACGAGTCATCTGGATGTCAGAGAGGTTTGGTCACAAAGCTGCCGGAGCGAAGCAGCATCTCCTCTCATCCTTTTTGGCTAATGATGGACGACACTCAGCTCTGCTTTCCACAGCTCAACTCCTCCTGTATAAAGCCCAGGCGTCCACACACCCAGGCCGTGCTTCTTCACATCCTGCTGTCCTCCATCTCTCTGCTGACCACAGCTCTCAACCTGCTCGTCATCGTCTCCATCTCCCACTTCAAGTAGCAGCACATTCATTCAATTTACACAAATTAGGAATCAATAGTTCATACAAAACAGCATCTTTACAAGTGATGATACTGCTATAATGTTCTTGTTATGTCATATGTGTGCTGCTTGTTATAACGGATGCATGTGCTCCTCTTTTCATGCAGGAAGCTCCACTCTCCCACCAACCTCCTCCTCCTCTCTCTGGCTGTGTCAGATTTCTTTGTAGGCATCCTCATGTCCTTTCAGATTATCCTGGCAGATGGCTGCTGGTTCCTTGGCGACGCTGTGTGCATGCTGTATTGTGCTTTAGATTACGTCGTAACCTCGGCCTCGGTAGGAACAATGGTGCTCATATCAGTCGACCGCTACGTTGCCATCTGCGACCCGCTGCATTATCCCACCAAAGTCACTATGAGGCGAGCTACTGTGTGCACCAGTCTCTGCTGGGCCTGTTCCTTTCTATACAACGGAGTCTTACTGAAGGACAACCTCAAGCAGCCGGGCAGGTACAACTCCTGCTCTGGAGAGTGTGTGGTGGTCATCAGCGACATGATGGGAGTCGCAGACCTCATTTTGACCTTCATCGGCCCCGTCACCGTCATCATAGTTCTGTACGGGAGAGTGTTTGTGGTGGCCGTGTCTCAGGCTCGAGTCATTCGCTCTCATACGTTCACACTGCAGGGTCCACAGACTGTCTACGCCAAGAGATCAGAGCTGAAGGCAGTCAGGACTCTGGGTATAGTCGTCGTCGCCTTTCTGACGTGTCTGTGCCCATTTTACTGTTCCCCTCTCGTAGACCAGAGCAGCGTGTTCGACGTCACATCGGTGCCCTTAGAGCTCTGGCTGTTCTATTTTAACTCTTGTCTGAACCCGATCATCTATGCATTTTGCTACCCCTGGTTTCTGAAATCTGTCAAGCTCATTGTTACATTAAAGATATTTGAGCCTGAGTCCTGTGAGGCCAGCGTACTGTAAGGACAGACCAGAGTGACTGTTAGGAATGAATAAGAAGGACATTGATGTCACTCAACATGCAAATGCAAAGGTCTGAATAAATATATCTGTTAAAAGTTTCAAGTTTAAATGTTTTCTTTCTTATAGCTGGACTGTGACCTTTCATTAAATATTGCTTAAATATTACTTTTAATGCTCAACAATACCAATTATAACAAAGTTGTATGGGAATGTCTTGGGAATGAATACAAGCAATTAATTCTTCCGAAAGCGCAAAGACAGCGATTTGCTGCAGCATTAAATAACAATATAGACTTGTGAAAATTATCGTTGACCTCATTCAAGTCAATTTGTCTGGAAACAATAAACAGATTAGATTTACACTCTGAAGCAAACGTCTGACCGTTTTAGACATTTTAATACTCATTTTGCACCTTTTTTCTTCTACCGGCACGATTAACACTTATTTTGCAGGCTTGTTTTCTTATTTTTTCTTAAATGTAACATGTGTGTGCTATTCCAGATGGATCAACAGGATATAACACTGTTGTCAGACAGCTCTTCATGTGTCCTAACATCATGTTCAACACTGGTCTTCTCCCCCAATAACACTTGTTACTGCAGTGACAGAAGTGTGGATACATCACGCTCCATGTCAAACCTGTTCATATGTAAATTCATCAGGTCATTTTTAAATTCACTATGTCGTTTGTACATTTAATTTTATTTTCAGCCCTGTTGTACTTGTGTCATTTCTTGTCCAGCTGCTGTAACGTGAATTTCCCCAATAAGGGATCAACACAGTTTATCGTCTGACTAAATACCTTGCATGTCCCCAAGGGGATGAATAAAGTATCTCATATATCTGTCTGTTTATCGAGTATCTCCAATATCTCAACAAAAACAAAACAAAACAAAAAAACTGTAAATGCTGTCTAACCATGACCTCAAACCTCCAAAAACAGAGCAAATTTTAATGTCGGGTCTCGCCTGAAACTTACTGACTCTTTACTGACAGTTGTGTGTTTTTCCCTCAGCAACCGCTGTTGGTTGGCACGAAATGCACGATGGGATATTTGGCTGTTCGGACAAGACTGCTCCCCATGCTTTATCAATAGAGAGGCCCTTCCTCTGTACTGGCTAGAAGCAGAATGGAAATAATATTTGGGCTGATGCCGTTTCACACAAGTATGGAGAAGAATGTATACTGAGGAACGGAGAACGTCTGTGCATGACTGGCTGTTTTCAACGTTCACCAGCCAAACCTGCCACGTTGCTCGTGTGTAAAAATGATTCTTGACGCTTTGAATGAACTGTCAAACTCTTTCCTGCCCTGTTACATTCCAGAGCAGATCGGTCTCCATTTGACCCGAACATTTGTGCTCGAGGACGTTTTCCTTTGGTCTTTTTTTAAACACGCCACATGTCCAACCAGTTACAGATCACACACACACACAGAAAGCCTTTTGAAACCTAACAATAGACGTAATCGCTGTCTATTGTGGACCAGAACCCAAACTGTAGCTAACAATTATGAATCAATATCTGCAGACTTTCATCGTTACATTTTTTTTTTTTTTTCATAAAGGTGCGTTTCTTTGTGATCGATTACATACATTAAAGATTCCATCACATGCTAAAGAATGAAGGTAAACAAGCCGCTGTGCTCCATCTAAATGGATCTTAAGACAATGATTATAATGAACCACTGAAAAACATTCGATAGCTGACACGTTGTTAATACTGCATTCATCATAAGTCGCAGTTAATTGCAGAGTATTTGGAAACTGGAATGTTCCGTGACAGAAGCGAGTTTGAGAAGACAAAAGGCCACAAGAATCTGTGAGAACGTCCTCACTGCGCTGGGGAGTCAACGCCACGGTAGATGTCTACAGACAGACGGCACTGTTTTCCACACCGTGAGACGATTCACAGAACACACCTGAAGCTTCCAGAGGAACTTCTCCTCAGACTCACGGCTGTTCCACTTCACTGTTCTCCTCAGAAGTCCTCCACACGGTAAGAAACCTGGAAACCTGTTTCTCACTATTCTACCTTTTCTAAAAGCTTTGAGGACAGCCATATGGACAAGAAAAATATGGATCGTTTCTGGAAAAACAAGTAAAATAAAATACATAACTGATGAATAACTATTTCTCAATGTTCCTTTATAAAGAAATGTTTAGCCGAGGCCATGGATTCTGTGCAGAACTACATATTGTATCGGACACAATTCACCTCCAAATTCACATCCCTTCTTCTCGGTTGAGCTGCTCTCAAAGTGTTTATTGCAGCCAGGTGTAGCGCATATAAAACTAATTGCAAAACTCGTCCTCTCCAACAATGACAAAGCATTGGCCTGAAAAAAACCTGCATCCATCTCCACAGCGCCTCTGGTTTGAATTACTCATGAACTGTTCATTGTACAGACACGTTAACATCTATGCAATGATATATATGATAAATCACAAAGTCCCGATTGTTTCACAACCCAACGTTCATCAGAACAAACAGCATAAAACTATCTGGATTTGAAATGATGCCTGCATTGTCTCCAGCATAACACTGACACAACAAAAATGAAAACATGACATTTTGCTGTTAGCTGCAGTGACTCAAAAGTTTTGGTCATAAGGGCGACCTGTGTGCAAGTATGAGAACACTTCAGCGGATAAAATAGTTACCTGGATTTCACCAAGCTTGTATTTTTCCCAATATTTACATCACACAGTTCGTCTACATGATGTTCTGGTATTTCCAGAATCCAGACAATCACAATCATGATGACAAAAAAAAATCCCCACTGCCCAGGTTTTTATGATGACAAACAACAATTTTATAAATCAAAACGCTTTTCTTCCCTTGATATAAGGGCAAATCAGAACAAATATGTCAGTATTATCATATGAGATGATGGAAGATCTGGGCAGCTGAGGCCTGAAATGGACCAAGATAAGAGCTTAGAAGTAAAAGTGGTGAAATTAAGCTGAAAATAGCTTTGAGTTTACAGGCCGATGATTGACATCCTGTCAAGGTGAAAGTAAACAAGCCACTGGCAGTGACTAACTTATGTCAGATGCAGGTTTCCGTTTAAGTACAGAGTATGACTAGAAGCTAGTCACAGTGGACAAACAACTAACACAATATACGTACATTTTTGTAAAAAAAAAAAAAAAAATCATTTATTTGTGCAGTCTCTAAGGATTTAATGTAGTGGGTCCAATTTTAAAAGGTTTAAATGTGAGGTATTGTAACTCTGACTGTTCCAGGTCAGTGAAACATGCTGTGCTTCCATCTGACTGTACTCAGCATGCTGGCAGGTAAGAAGGATTTTTAACTCAAACACACTGACTTTTATCCTTTTGCAGCATTTCTTTGAAAGTTGCAAAGAATAACCTCCAGTAGACATCATTACTTTGCTTTTACGCTTCGTTTTATCTTCGGATTTATGGTGCGTCGTGCTAAATTTGTCAGTTTAGAGTGGTAAACACACAGGAAAAGACTTGCAAAGCTGCGAAAACTTGTGAAGAGAAAAAGAAATTCGGCCAATAATCAGTGAACAGGTAAAAAGACAAAGTGTGAAACGTGTGGTCGTGACCAACCGTTAGCTCCAAAGTATTGAGCAAATGAGAAAATTCAGAGCAGCTTGTAGGCAGATACCGTTACAGCTCACTGACTTCTTTTTTTTTTTTTTTTAAACGCAATGATTAATGCATTAAGCGAAAGTGTCAGTGTTGATGTGTAAAGTACCTTGTCTCGGGTTGTCGGTGGGATACTGCGTACGTAGCCGGTGTCTCCATGTCTTCAGGCGCCGCTGCAACAAACCAGGCTTTCACCAGCTCTGGGACGATGAACATCACCTCGTGTCCCATCACCTATTACGGACGGAAGTATGACAAAGTTTACGTGAGTACCAGTACCTTATTTCACTAAATTATAATTTAGCCCATTTTTATGTATTACTATTTTTTCAGTTTCTAGTTATTATATTATATATAGAGACTGTTGTTAATTTTGCCTTTTCTTTAATGGATGAATACATTTGAGGACGACTGTAATTATCTTGACAAAGGACATCGACTGTGTGAGTCCAAAGCTGTGACCAAGAAGTGGCTCCTGAATAAGAAATGCTACAAAATCATGACTGAAACTGTCAAATATAAAAAATAATTTCATGTAACAACCTTTAGGTGCGTAGGCTACTGATATCTAATAATCATGTCTCCTCCCTGTGGTCAGGTGGCCTTCAGTGCAAACAGATTTGCGGTTTGCTTCAACGGTTTATACAAACCTGGGATCAAAAACGACTGTATTCTGATGTCTGGAGGCACCGCTGACAGAGGTGACCTGGCAGTGCTTTCTAAAGAAATACCGACTGGATCCGGGGTTCATAAACTCCTGCCAAACCTGAAGAATGCCGGGAAATGTGTGAACGTAATACCACTGAAGGACGGCCAACAATCTGACGTGAGTTTCACTTTCATCCTTGTGAACTCGTTCTAACCTCTACGATGTGTTGTTGTATTTTAATGAAATACCGTCGCACAGTGGTGCATGTACAGTAACTACAATTCCCTGTTGTCAGATTGAACAAGTCGAACTGGGAAACTTTGGGTCCCAAGCAATTTTGGGAATCAGGACGTATTCTGGGTACACAAATGTTACTGTGGTAAGTATTTACTAAAACAGTTGCACTCAGGTGGTCATAGAAGGAACCATAAATGTTAGCGTAAATATTTATCACGTAGTTTAATAATCAAATCAACTAAATCCAGATGCTCAAAGTGGCCGCATTGGAGTCCTGTCTGTTTTTAAACTTGACATTTTGGGGCTTTTCCAGGAGGCAGATGCTCTGGTAAACGGTCTCACGGTGTCCAAACTGAAATTCCAGACGGCTCAGACGAATAAAGGCGTCATCACAGACATGAGTGGATGCAGACTCTCAGGTGCAATTCAAGGTCTTGAAAGCAAAACTGTCATATTTTAAAACGCTTCAGGTATTTACTCACTCTTCCTAACTTGTAGGTGTTGTTTATAAGACAAATACGACAGTGAAGGACCCGAACATCTGCTCTACGGTAACCTGTGACGTGAGTGGTGTCGCTACTGCCGTCAGTGACTGTGGGCCAATGGAGCGTTGCCGAGGAAATGGACGGTAAATATTTGAGACTGATACAAATCTCTCTACTTATAATTATCGATCTCTTTAAAGGAGAATTTGGGTATATTTGAACTTGACTTGTGGCTCATTAATGTGGCTGTTAGTGTCATGCTAACCTTTAACCTCCACAGTACAGTTTTTCCAACTGAAATACAATAAACGAGCTTGACAGGTAAAAAAAAAAAAAAAAAGACAACATACTGTCATATCAGCCAGTTTTTTACATCTTCCCTGGAAGAAATTAGTATTTTATGGGGATGTCCTGATCCGAGTTTGTTTTCTTTGCCAGTAACTTGAGCCAAGTCATTTAATATTTCATATCTGCCAATAACCGCAAGCATTTTCCGAAACAATACACACAAGTACTGCAGACTAGCTATAGTACCTGGTTGGGCCACCAGATGTACTATTTAATGCTGTAAAGACCAGAGTAGGCAAGCAGTTACGTGTTGGTAAGCAAAGAGCACTGTGGAGTTTTAGCTAGTAAAGGGGCACCATGATAACGTCTTATCGGAGGCGTAATGAGGTCCAGCGAGTTTACACGTAGCAAATCCAAGTCGGCATTTTAGGGCACAATTTCCGTGTTTATGCATATTTAAGGGTTGTTTTTGTGGCCCATATCATGTGTCTGTGGCTTTGTCAGCAATATCAGTTCATGACCAATAATGACGTGCTGAATATACTTATCAATTATTCAAATACTGATTGATACTGCTTAAGTTCATTATTCACATTTACAACATGTCTTGCAGTGAATGTAAACAAAGAATTAGGCTTGCCAATACGAATCAATTGAAAGAATCAGGCTCGGGACATCCCCATATTTTCGCTTTATTCTATCATTTCTGTTGAGTGCATCCTGTGTGTCAGGTTTACCTAATGCTGACATTGTTGTTTTTCTCCGGCTCCTTCAGTTGCATCTTGAACTCTGTGTGCACTGTGACCGGCTCCACCATCATAGATTTCATCGGCAGAGGCCAGTCTGTCTCCGATCGCTGTGGTTACACTCTGCTGAAGCCCTCGTCCATCCCAGGTTTCAGGGTGTTGGGGATTTTCCAAGAAAGACGGCGTAGAGATGTTAGCTTTCTGGACCGTGTGATACTGCAGCTGGACGGGGAAGGCATTCAGGTTTCTCTGGAACAAGGTGGCAGAGTTCAGGTAAGTTACATATTGCCACATTCAGAAACCACCACATCTTCCAGACCTCATCAACCGATGATGTGCTGCTCCAGGCAGCAGCTAATGAAGGTCATAGGCTTTAATGTAGTAATGCCCTCATATCATTACTTTAAGTCAAGACTGCTGATGTGGGTTGCATAGATTTGCATTGCACGTCACTCGTGTTCATCCCTCCAGTTGATGTTCTGTTCACCAGCCAACTTGGAATTATGTTTGTGAAACTTCTTTCATTGTTTTCTTTACAGTTCTATATGGAATTAATCGTTTCAGTGTTTGGCAGATTTATCTGTATTTTACTGTTTAAAGCCGGTAACGTCAAGTTTCTGGTAACACCATATGGAAAACGAACATGCAAACATTAAAATTCTGCAAGCACGTGGTCTTATCAATATTTTTCAACACTGGCACTGCAGGATTTGTACTTCTAAAGCTGAGAAATGAAGTCAGTAGCAGAGCTTGTCAGTTTGTGTTAATTAGGGATGCACGATCAATAACCGGTTAATCATTAAACAAATGTCCAGTAGATAACATACCATATCCAGGTTGAACTACATTTAAATCACAGACGCATGACATTTGGTGAAAAAGCAGTTTGGTGTCATTAACTGATTAAATGAAAAATGTATTTTTCATTTCATTTTTCATTTCATTTCATTAACATCTCAGCTGTAGAAACACTAAAAAGTAAATCAAACTGAGTTGATGTTATACAGTCACTCCGTAATGGAAGGATTTCTAAAGTACGGTGGCATTTGTTGGCACTTCCGTACATTAACTCTTCTGTAGATTGTAATGGAAAAACTGCTTTGTTTTCTCAGTAGCACTTCTGCTCCAGTTAACCTCAGCGTAACCTTTACTCCGGTTAACTTCTGAGCTCATAACTCTTGCTTCGTGGTACAGCTTCTGCTTTCTGTCAGGAGAAGATAAGTTCATGTTGCGGTTCCACATTAATGAGGCGTCGATGAGGCAGGAATCGCACTAGACATATAAAACCACAAGCCCAGTCCCGATACCAAGAACTGTGTATATGACAAAACAACCTGTATTGAGTATAGTTTGCCCCAGCAACAACAGGGGGTTCACATCAGTCACATCTGGCTACAAAAGAACTGTCGTTGTGTGTTTGACTTTCTCTCTCTTGCTGTAAGATAATAAATGACTCAAAGACAGATCAAGTCTGATTAAAGCGAGGGTTTCTCACCGTGAGCCTTGTTAGACAGAAAATTCCATGACAAGATCCAACAACGTATGATGTGTAACTGCTCAGCTGTCCTGTTGTGTCACATGGAAATGGGAACTGATTGCAAACATTAATTGAGGAGTAAATGTGTCCTATGCTTTGTTCCTCTGCTGTGGTGAAGCTGAACAACACAGTGCTGACACTCAACGCCACGGCTCAGGTGGTCCACGGCGTGGAGCTCTCCAGGGACCAGACAGGTGTGACTGCCAAGATATCGGCCTCCAACTACACAGTTTCTGTCCTCTTTGATGGTGACACCACACTAATCCACATGACAGGTATGCACCGATTCAACCCTGAAGCCTGAAGGTGGTCCAGATGTTGTGATCCAATTAAAGTTCGTATCATTTCATCTACTCTCCTACATACATCAAATACAACTCTGCATGTGTAGTGGGTAACGCCTGTTAAAATTCAGGACAACAACAGCTTTTACACAGGCAGCTTTCCCTGGAGCAGAGACATAAATGACTTTAACGTCCATGCACACCCACACAGGTGCTTTCAGTTGTTCTGTTTCATTGAACATCTGCTCAGGTGGAGGTGGGCTGAGCCATGGTGTCAGATTCATCCAGCCCCGACAGGTGCTGGAGAGTCTGAAACATGTCAGTGAGGTGCGGTTTCTGCACGCCCACACGGTAAAAAAGGTCAAATCAGGCAAAAATAAATAAAATCGAATGTGGGACACGATCATGGAGGATGATGAACGACAGGGACAGAATCACAACCTCCAAACTCCACTATTTAAACATCAGGTTGGACAAAATGCAGACATTTTCTTTGGTATCAGTTAGTTTGGAGTGGATTTAGACATAACGTTCAGTACACATTAAATAAGTTGTGATATAGGTGGGAGTCTATCATACTTGATTAATTTCTAGGTACATTTATTACAACTAAATAAACAGCAAAATATAACATTTTTTCCTGCTCTATCTTAATTAGTAAACACCTTTTAATGGTAGATAATAAATGTATTATCCTCTAGCTTTACATTTAATCACCAACAACCTGATCTACTGTGAGAGTGGCGTGTGCATTATGTACACAGACACTCAAAACATGATCTGCAACATCAGTACTGGTGAGCTGGGAGCCGTTCACCAACACTGGGACGCCTTGTCTTTAGTCAAATATCAATATACGCCAGTGGGCCTTCAGTATGTTGCAGCAAATGTCCATTTTAGACGTTTATTGAGCTTTCAAACGTCCTCTCCTGAAATTCTCCAGGACCACGTGGAGCAGCTGTGCACGGTTTATGTGGCAACTCGAGCAGGACTCTGAATGAAGACAGGGTTTCTGAACACAGTTCCACTGAGTAAGACCTCAAACACAGCGTCTCATGGGCTACTATCGCCTTTCAGTGTTAAGCTGTAGGTCCAGACTGTGATTGTACGTTGTTTGTTGCCCCACAGCTGTAAGACAAAATACAACGATGCTGCTGACAATACAATCAACTGCAACGGCTCTATGAAATGGTAAATACAGAGTTCACTCAAGTCACAGAATTGCAAAAACGTACAACCATTATCACTATGAACGTTTCTTGTAAATGTGTCTTTTCTGAATCGGTGGAACAGGTGTAAGCTCCTGACGCAGGCTCCCTTCGCTGCCTGCAACATGTACATTGACCCGGAGCCCTTCATCACTGCTTGCACACAAACTTTATGCAAATACCCTCCGGCGGACGGCCTAAAGTGCCAGTTCCTGGAGGCCTACGCTCGGGCCTGTAAGCACCTCAGCAATGTGACGGCGAAGGACTGGAGATCAAAGACCAGCTGCTGTAAGGCCATCTCTCAGGAACTTTTATGTTTCAACATAACCTCATATGAACCCATTACTTTAACTGTTTTGTGTCCCGTGTTTCTTCATAACTTTTTATATTTTTAAGTAATTCCATTTGTGAGTCTCTGTAGATTGCAGCTGTCAAATCACATCTCAGTGTGTTTAAATGAAAATTCTTAAAATACTGCATTTATGCAGAGAAAAGACACATTTCAGGAATGTTCTAATAGAAGCATTAGAGTTCCTGTATTGTTGTATAACTGCAGAACAGAACAGGGACACCATAAAGTCCACCAGCGATCAGACAGTCGACGGCCATCGCCAGGTACGACACAAGAGTGCGGAGATGAGTCAACCTGCAAGACGAGAGACTGACCAGAGAAGCAAAGTGAAAACACGAAGGGGACGTTTATAAATTGGGCTTTCAGCCTCAGGTTGAAGTGACAGACTTCTTATCTGGGCAACAACATGCATAACTAATTATGTGATCAGACGATGTACACTAGTCCTGCATTAGCCTTACAAGAAAGGAATTTGCAGATGCGATGGTAATGCTGACTAGACATTAGATTAGTTTGTGTGAAACTTTTCTTTCTAACAGCTTTTCCTGCAACACCTGAAAATGATTATTCCTTCTTATGTCTGGTGTGTTTACAGCCGCTGTTCCTCAGCCTGTCCTCTGTCAGGACAAGTTCTGCAGCGAGCACGAGTTCTGTGGCGAGGACGGCAACAGTAGGGAAACCCGATGCCTCTGCCGGGCCACTTTCGCCTCCAAGTATAAACCAACTAGTAGCTTTGGTGAGTCGGCTATGACGTAGGATGTCTGATCTGCTCTGATTGGACAGATTCGTGAAATAGATGGAACATTAACACACCTCAGTAAAAAAATTAGATCAAGATATCAGCTCAATGCTTTTACACCCAATGATAAGGTGCCATCAATAATTTAATGGTATAAAATTCAGCTTTTTGTTTTGTTTTTTTACAATTTGACAGACTAAACCTGGCAGTCAAGTTTCTGACTTGTGCTTTAACTTCCCTCGGCCGACTGTAGGGACCTTGCACAGTATTACTCATAAGCCATCTAACTTTCTACTCTTCTTTCATCCATGGTATTAACATTCAGGATTAACCCTAAGATATTCGCTGCAAAAAACAAAAACCAACATAAAACAGTTTAAAAAAGAGCTTAAATGTAACGTCTTTGTTTTGGGTGTTCAGGTGAGCCAATCGTCTGCAAGAATAAATCTGCCTCGGTAACTCTGGCCAACTGTCTCTTGGAGGATGAAGGCATCGACTACTCTGTCCTCCACCTCAATGACGGGGACTGCAAAGCAGAAATGGACAACCTGACCCACATGGTGACGTTCAGCTTCAACAGCAGCAACACTTGTGGCACAGTGATCATGGTGGGTTTCCTCCCAGTTACTAGATTTACTCTCAATAAGCAGCCAAACACTGATAACAAACTACATCTACACAGATTAATTTAGCAGAATGCAGGGCTACACGATCAAAAAGGACAAAATATATTTACAGCACTTTCACTGTTAAATAAACAGAACTGCTTTCACTTCAAAGCTTTACCACAAACCTGCTGAACACTTTTGCATCACAATCAGGCTGGTCTTTATTCAAAATGCATCCCAGAGAAGTAAAATATCAATGAAATGGTACCAAACTTGACTTTCATGTTGTGCGATACACTGATGTACTGCATAGCATCACTGTTCTGGATATTACTTGGTGCTTGAAACGAGGTAACATGAGCAACGTTATTCTTCTTGGCCTTCATGCATTTATCAAGTTGCAGTTTACTGGGTTTTTCAGCTGGTTGAACAAGTTGGGTTTGTCGCTTTGCAGCATATACACAAATCTCACGTTTTATTGCAAGATTTGTTCTGGCTTAAATCCCCTGCCTTAAAGCCAAAATACTTACTACTACTACTCTAGGCAAACAAGAGCCAAGTCATCTACAAGAACACCATCATGTCACAGAACGTCTCCATGATTGACCCAATCATCCGTCACGGCCCAGTGCATATCGACTTCTCCTGTTACTACAGCCAGCCGGAGGTCAAGAGTTTGGGCATCAAACTCAAACATAGGTGGGTGTACATCATCGCCTTTTGTTGACAAGTGAAGTTCTGACTGAGCTGTATAGCTGGTCCGAATAGAAATTCCTGATCTCCAGATAGTCGGGCCCAATTAATGATAAATATCCACTCATATAACATTCAGGGCACGCAGACGGGGCGGAAATGGCCGCAACGCACAGGGGAACGCACAGGCTGTTAGCTCACAGATGTAGAATTTATTTAGGTCACAGGTAAAGTGAGGCAGCGCTGGGCTCGGAGTGACACAGCTCGATCATAAGGAGCCCCGATGTCCGGAAATGATTCACATTTATCTTCTCGGGCTGGGCCTGCCCCGTACAGAGGTTGGACTGGTACACAACCGAGTATTATTGGCGAGTTACCAATGACACGGACAGGCATACCTCATTCACGCTCTGTCTACGTTCTCGAAATATGGTAAGCATCATGTGTTGGTGTTGTTGGTACAGCGTGTATCTAAAGTAACAATCCTAACTGATAGAATAGAGGAGTTTCAGTTGTCTCCTAGTCCGTAGACCAGTTCTAGACCGGCGGCAGCAGCGATGGTGGTGCAGTCAGGTGCAGGCGAATATTCGGATCTCAAAATTTGCATCCGGACACCACCACCACAAACGAAAATATCCGGATATTCGGATGTTCAGGTCCAGCCCTACTGAGATGCTTCTTATTTTTTTGCTTTCCAGCTCCGTGAACCAGCAGATGACTTCTGGAGAATTTAATTATAATCTGACCATGAGGGCCTACACCAGCGCTGACCGCCTCAAAGCTATCAAGTCGAGCACAGACATCGGACTGAATGCAAGACTCTGGGTGGAGCTGAAGACAAACGGGCTGGATGAAAAAATGGTCGCTGTGGTGACCGACTCCTGCTGGGCAACCAATCAACCGTCACCAAACGGAAGCCTGAGACACGACCTGATCATCAACGGGTGAGGCACACAGAGATGCTCATGGACATCAAACAGCTCTTGTTGTTGCTGGCCAATCCCTGCCATGTCTGCTTTCCTGTTTCTGAGCAGCTGCCCGAACCCTACTGACCCAACGGTGAAGATGGAGGAAAACGGATTGGGAACGTCCAACTACTTCTCTTTCAACACGTTCCAGTTCTCTGGCAAGACTGGTGAAGTCTACTTGCACTGCAGAGTGCTTCTGTGTGTTCTGCAAGCAAATACCTGCACCCCGGTAGGCCCACTTCCTCAATATGGTTTAGACTGCTGTAGTGTCTGCACCGAAATATCCCTAAAACTGAATCTCTGTCTTTTAAATGTCTCCCAGAGCTGCAGCCAAAGTCACAGAAGGCGCAGGTCTGCTATGCCAAAATATGTGGATGAAAACCCGGGCTTCATCACCTTGGCCTGGACCCATTAGGTCAGTGCTACACCCCTGATCCTACTCTGAAAACCATGCATCTTAAAAACAGTTCCTCGTGAGCTTAAAAAAACAGTCCTGTTGTGAAGCTTCACGCACCACAAATTACATTCACTCACACAGAAACAGTCATTTCATCCCATAATATGCCAAGACTTTGCCCTCATCACAATTCACGGTAGGGGTTTATAAATTTATATCTGAAGAAATGAAATAAATACAAAAGGCAAAGTCCAAAAATAAAACACTTTCATGGGTTATTCCATCTCAAATCATCAGGGGCCTTCTGCTCGACCAATTAGGATTTCCTTTAAACTTGTTTATCATCAAATATGGATATTTAAAATGATATCTGTGAAATTTCAGATTGATTGATCAAGTACTTTCCAAGATAACATATTTCTAATATATATCTAGATATAATTGCCTCGAATTTCAAACAATGTTGTCTCAGAAAGTGTTAGATTTAGTACGCCAAAGCATCTTAAATCTCTGTTGAAGATCTATGTTTAACGCTACAACAATTTCAGGCAAATCAGAGATGGTCAAGCAGAAATTGTTTTAAAAACTCAATAATTTGAGATGAATGACCCCAGTTTACGTTTGGGATACAAGACACAGCTGTATAATACAGAGATTAGCAAGAAACCATGACTTTCTTTCTTCTTAGGTTTCCACAGAGATTTGACCAAGAAGCTGAAGATGATTCCAGCTTTGGCGTCATCCAAATGAAGAGTGGCTTATTGGTGTTGCGAATCTATGCTACACAGCAATCTTCCACTCATTATAGAATGTGTTTTGTCTTGTTTTGGGGTTCTGGAGTAATTTCTCTTGGCAGGATGAGGGCTTTAAAAAAAAAGCACGAGCACACTTACACTGTATGCTTGTAAGTTCCAGCAGAATGTGTGAAAGCTTCTTCCTTTGTGATTTACAGCAGAGTTCTCTCCAGCATTATAACAGAGTAATGGCTCGTTACGCTGCTGATTGAAAAAATTACACCACAAATTGGGCCATTACGTTGTTTTGGAGGATATATAGAGGGAAAATTCTCATTTTTCTACATTGATTGTACCTGGCTAACTTACATCTATCAGGGTTCTCGTTCTCGCTCGTTTCTCTACCGTCGTCTTCGCTGCTAGTGAATAGCAGAATAACAGATTTCTGCTGAGAACCCTGTACAGGTTTACAAAACTGACACAAGTTATGTCACAAGATCTTGTGTATGCAGCACATATCAATTTTGGAGGGGGATGAAAGCACCTTGATAGTTTTGTTGTTACTGCTGAAATCCAAAAAGGGTTACTGTAGAGGTTTTCTGCTAATTGGGGACATTCTTCTAATTGGGTTTGGACAAAAAGATAGAAAAATCTTTGGGATTGTTTGACATGAAAACATGCATCTAGTTCAGTCTGTGGCCTTAACAACACCTAAACATGCTGTGTACTTTATCTACCTTTATCACGTATGTGTATGACCAATAAAAAGCATTTGAATATCACACGATCTTTGAGTTTCTTCTTCATGCACTAGAAAACTACATTTTGGCATGTTAGGTTATAATTTTGCACTGTACCTTGAGGGGAGTACGTTCAGACAGCCGTGGGGACCTTCAGTGCTCCACCATGATGGATAGACAACCAGCTCATTGCAGATGAACACTGGCTGGCTTGAATAGAAGACAACAGCAGCAACGGGTTGAGTTAAAAGCTAGCAGCCAAGAAGGAGAGTTTCCTGCAGCCTTCAGTCTGTGCAGGAAGTTAAAGAAACACAACAGTTTAATAAAATGGCATTAGACACATCAATGACTTTCTACGCTGTCTTCAGTAGTGTTGATTATAACAGAGAAGACTATTAAAATGCTATACAGGACTTTTGTCCACGGTTCGGCCCCCATTTTACATGAATTCTCATGTGGATTAGTGTCAGTGTGTACATATTAGCTGATCAGATCTGTCCATCTCAAACAACATAAAATACTGATAAACAGTCAAACACAGAGGAAAGAAAAAAAAAAAAAGAGTTTTCAGTAGGGATACGTCAGATATTCAGACTGTCAGGGCTGAACCATCTGTACTCCCTTACCATAAGTTTGGTGTTTCTCACTTCGAGAATTAAATCAGTATGGTATAGATATACAGAATTAATATACAATAAACTGGAATTACATATTGTACAGCGTTTATGGTGGGTTTTCTCAATGTATTCAGCTTCTCTGGGTGTTAAATGTCAACATCAATCACACAACATGTATTCTGGTCACAGAACGGACCTTCAAAATTGGATGAACAACATTAAAATCTCTCCAATTCAACTAAAACCCTCCATTCACTTAGAGACAGACAACCAAGCACACTCACATTCGCACCTACGGACAATTTAGAATCACCAATTAACCTCAGCATGTTTCTGGACTGTGGGAGGAAGCCGGAGAACCCGGAGAGAACCCACACTGCACGGGGAGAACATGGAGACTCCACGCAGAACGATCCCGGGTGTCCTTATCGGGACGTGAACCGGCGACCTTCTTGCTGCGAGGCAACGATGCTAACCACCGTTCCACCTTGCAGCCCCAATTCAACTAAAATGAAAAGTCTCTGTCACAAGTCATATTGCTTTATCAAAAGAAATGCGCAAATTGCAGAAATGTTGCTTCTTAAGGGGGGGTTTCAATTTATTTAACTCCTAAAAAAATGTCCACTTAATGGCATTTCTTAAACTTACATTAAGTCACGGAAACATTGGGTATAACCAAATAGAATTTAAAATTACACTAATCTGCAGTGCAACTAGCAGACATTAGTCAATAAGTCCAATAAATAGCATCGCTGGTATTTTATATGGCATTAATTAGCATTGCAGCTAGCGGGCTAATAAGAGAGCAAATTAGCATCACGGCTATTTCACATGACACTAATTAGCATTGTAGCTAACCGACATTAATCACCAGAAATGAAATAATAGCGTTAATTAGCATCATAGCTCGCGGACATTCATCACCGGAAATGAAATAGTAGCGCAAATTAACATTGTAGTTTGCGGACATAAGCCATATAAAACCGCGAATTAGCATCACGGCTAGCAGACGTTTTAAGCTAGTTAGCTACGCTCTCGAAATTTCCACTCACCAACGTCACTACATGGCGTCAGGAAAGAAGTTCACTTTTCGTTTTTATCTCCTTAACATGAAGGACAACACACTAAAGACGACTTGACCTTAAAGTGAGCTCTGTGAAAGTTTACCTGAGCTTCTTACCGGTAAGATTAAAAGCTCCTCGCTAATGAAGAACACGGACACCGTACCCTTTGACCGTTACTTGCCTGACCAATCAGCGCGCAGTCAGGAAGCGGGCCGAACCATCTGATTGGCCAATTTAAGTTCAAAACGTTGTCTTTCTATTTGTGAAATTATTTGAGTTAGATTTGTATATTTTATCTTAATTATTCATTCAGAGATGTATTGTTATTGCCGATTTACCTACTTTGGGCTACATATACATGCCATGATTTAGAGCTTTACACAAAATGCATTGTAACTGTAAACCTCACTGCCATCCCGGAGCCTGGGTCAACTGGAGGTCTCTTTCTGATACAAATAAGTCACTGTGACTAATAAACAGTAAAACAATATAATATGTTTATAACTTTCTAATAAAATGCAAAATAAAAAACAGAAAATATAACACATAAAGTAAAGCTTTCTAATAGGGGATCAGGGAAAGTTTGGATTTTTAGTTTTTTCATGTCTAAGTTCTAAATTAGTCGTGTAAACCTCCAGAATTAATAATATTGTTGTATCTAAAATGTATTATCGTCAGGAAAAGTTGTATTTTATAGAATTGTCGGATCAGAAGTAAAGTTTTGTCTCTATTTTTAAACTTGCTGGGTTAATTTGTAACTCAAGTCTTATTTTTCTACTATAAAACATAGTCTGAATTCAATTTATGATTCCGATTATTCTAAGGTAAGACTGTCTGGCTTCCTGCTGCATCTCAGAACTCTTAACCCTCAGATCAGACAGTCAATTGCTGTTAAAAAAATTTCACACTGCAGACTTAAAATAAAGGTTAACATGCTTTTACCATTTTAGTGCCGACAGCGTGAAACAAAAAACCCAACCACACAGCCTGGCATATGTGTAGCACCTTTTAATTTATTTTATAATGGTTTTTTGTTGATGTTTTATTGTCTGTTTTATTGTTTTTAAAGCACCTTGTAACTCCAGTTTTGTAAGCTGCCATATAAAGAATTAGTGTCTAATTCATAAGTAATACTAAATATTAATATTTCAAGTAAATTTCACTACAGCAGTGTAGTGTAGTAACTGGAGTAGTATTTTTTATTATGTGTGTCTGTGTGTCAAAATCCATATTACAATACGATGCTATAAATAAACTATGTGCCCATTCAAAGTGTGCATTTGAAATGAGTAGTAACAGCAAAAGCAACACAAAAATAATCAACGACACAAGATTTTATATTTTTAGTCAATGTTACCCCCCAAGCTTACAAATAAATATAAGGGTGTCTTCTGAAGAAAAATACATGTTATTTTCTCGTTAGATTTCTATTTGAATGCAGCTCTTCTGTTAGAATACACAAGAATGTCACAAATAATAATTCAACAGAACAATGCGTCTATCAGAGCCGCACATAGCAGAGTTAATACCCACACAGTAGCAGATCAGTGTTCTGCAGTGGACATGTAGATGAGGGAAAGCCTTAACAGAAATAAGGGCCATTTTTGAGGAGCACATCAGTAATGATCTATCCTCATGTTTTCATCCAGACTAAACTAGAACGTGACAAAAGAAATCGAGTATCACAACACAATTATTCACAGGTAGTGGGTAGTGAGTGAAGACATTTTGACTTTAGAAAATGTTACACACAGGTTTAAAAAAAATGTTCATGAGAATAAAAAACAGAGTTAAAGGCTATTAATGATGGTCAAAGTAAGATATTCAGCGGAGCCCTTTGCAGTATTAAATGCTGTGAATAAACCTGTTTTATTTATATCTGTTGTTCTTGTGCAGAAGGTTTCATTTGCTTATTCAGTATATTTTTTTATTTAGACAATTTCAAACAAACAGAGGGGTTTTTTTTTTTATTTTTGCACATTAAATTTTTAGGCTGTGTTCAAACCACAGTATCTCAGAAATTATTAAAGATTAAAGCCTAAAATATTCACTGGTATTTGATCTACATGTGTGCAATATTTCCTGTGTGCAATATTTTTTTATCTTGCAGTTTGTAATCTCTTGCTTACTTGTAATGTGTCGCTCTTTGCCCACCTAATTGCCCCTCGGGGATAAATACAGTTTTTCTGATTCTGATGTTCAATAGTGCAGAGAAATAACAGTGAAGATTCCAG